CTGTCATTAAAACAGCGTATTCACGTAAGGCTAGACATACAAATCAAAAAGAACAGAAAGAAACTTTCACCAATGCACTTAATTAACTGTTGGCCATGGTAAATCAGTGGGCAAAGGATAGATACTTCATCAAGTGATTCTAGAAGTTCAGGAATACAGTGTCAGGTAGGGGGCAGGGTGGAAATGGACCTAGTCCAGCTATTTGAAAGAATAGCATCTGGGATTTTAAAAGCTTGTTTTCAAACAAGCACCAATCTAAATGGAACTTCAACTAAATCCACATGGAATAAGCACACCAGCCTGTATGATCCAAGGTTTGTAAATAACATAATCCAAATCTAAAGGAAGGAATGGTATCAGAGCTTAAATTGTGAACACCTAATTTGCAGAAGGCTATGGGTGACAGTGGAGGCCCAAAATCCATTTGCAGGATGTAGCCTCTGGTGAGTCCTCTGCATATCTGAGAGAAGTAAATAGCCCTGTTATCAAACAGAGAACATTGTAAAGTTGATTATGGCAGATGTAGTAAGGTTAAAATGTATGTATCTTATCATTTGATCTCCCTTTAGACCAGCAGTTCTCAACCCGGGGATTGTGACCACTTTAGGGGGTCAAACTACCCTTTCACAGGGGTTGCCCGATTTGTAGCAGTAGCAAAATTACAGTTATGAAGTAGCAACAAAAATAATTGTGTGGTTGGGGGTCACGACAACATAAGGAACTGTATTAAAGGGTCGCGCACTTTAAATTTTTCAAAAAAAGTTTAATAAAAAGTGCCAGGGAAATACACATGTGTTCATCTATGAAGCCCCTGTGAATCCCCTCTGACCAAAGACCAGGGATGCGAATAGTCTTGCTAACATGCAGAACGCACTGGAAAATGGATTGTTGCAGTTGCCGTTAGGTTAAAATTTAGCACCCTATTATTTAATCTCCTGCATGATCCATTTAAATTTGTTCTTCTTTTTAATATTTTCTGCTTTCCAATGGAGGTTTTTGTCTGTTTTTCTTGGTTATTCTTTTTAGTTAGTTTTTTTTAATGTTTTCCTGTAAATGAAATGTAACATAGGTAAATCTATAGAGACTAACTGGATTCCTTGGAGGTGTCATGGAGGCGGTAAGGGGAATTAATAATGATTAGTACAAGACCGAGGATAATATTCTAAAACTGATTATGGTAATGATTGTACAACTGTTCTTGTTTTGATTCAACTATTCGATTATATGATATGTGAATCATATGCCAATAAAATTGTTGGGGGGAAATATATCTAAACCCTTACCTCTCACCAAAGATAAAATTTAGTTCCAAGTTACATAGTTACACATAAACCCAAATTATAAAACTTTCAGGAGAAAAAAATAAGAGCTATGTCCTAGATGGAACAACAACAAACCAAATTCACATTATAAAGGACTTAGTAAGAAATAAAACTAATGCTCTTTAAAAGACAGAATTAGGATTGTAAAGACAAGCTGGGAACTGGAAGAATGTGCTTGAAAGACAAAAATCTGATGAAGGACTCATTTCATAATATAGTAGGAACTCTAATAACTGAACAGTGAAAATATCCTAATTAAAAATGGACAAAAATTTTGAAAGGGTATTTCATGGAATAGTATCACTGAATATCCATTAAGTACCCCCAAAATATAATTTAAATGATTACATTTATCAATGAAATATAAAATAAAACTGCACAGAGATGCCACTACATAGTCACTGCAATGGTTAAGGTAAAAAGATTGATTATATCAAAGTCTTGTTAGAATATGGAACAATTAGAATTCTCACAAATAGCTTGTGGGAGTGTAAAATGGTTCATCCACTTTGGAAAAGTTTTGCATTTTGTTACAAAATTAAATAAACAGCAATTCCATTCCTATGTATTTATCCAAGAAAGAGTATGAAATATTCACACTAAACTGTGTTTGCTAATGTTCTTAGCAGCGTATTCATAATGACCCTAAATTGGAAACAACTCAAAAAGCTATCAAATAATTGCTACATATTCATGCTATGGAATGCAAAATAAATGCCCCAGGGTTCTGTTCATCTGGATTCTGGAGCTGGCAAAACTAATCTTCAGTGACAGAAAACAGTCCCTTGATTACAAAGGAGCACGAGGGAACTTTTTGGAATAGTGGGATGGTTCTGTCTGTTGATTAGGGGATGTTTATACAGGTGTGCACATTTATTAAAACTCATCAAAGTATACAGCTTAAGTGGATGCATTCTATTTATACTTCAATAAAGATGATTATTTTAATGTTCTTTTAAAAATTAGTGCAAGATCCTAAGTAAACCTATGTAAGTTTATATATTAATGAAAAATAAAAACAGCCAAACAAAAACTTTTATAGCTGTCTACCATTCTTAGAATAAAATCCAAATATTTTACAGCAGCTGGTCTCTGATTGTGAGGTATTTTCAAGTTGATTTCAGCTCCTAACAAGCTCACGTGACACGGTAGTACTGCCTCAGAAGGATCCCCAGCCTCCTAGGGTTGTCTAGGTGGCAATCACCAAGTCTTTCTCTCACAAGCCATTCCAAACCAAACGCACTTTCATTGAATGGATTCCAAATCACAGCGAGTCTATAAAACAGGTTAGCAGTGTCCTAGTAGATTTCTGGAAAACCTCTTCTTTCTCCTAAAGATCAACTAGTGGTTTCAAACTGCTGACTTAGTAGTTACTAGCCCAATGTGCCGCCAGGACTCCACGGAGCCCCTCACTGCCATCCTGCCGATTCTGACTCATGGTAATTCCATAGGACAGAGTAGAACTGCCCCTGTGAGTTGACGGGAATAGAAAGCCTCCTCTTTTTCCTGCACAGAGCCGCTAGGTACATTCAAATCGCCAACCTTGCAGCTACCACCTGAGTTAACCATTCTACCGCCATTCCGCTTTTTCCTTTCACCATGGTTTGAGTTACCCTTTTCCTCATTCCCTGGGCTCCAGCCACATGTCCTCCTTTTTCTTTCAATTCTTCAAGCTCCATCATTTGCCAGAGCCATCCCTTTCCCTAGAAGAGCTTTTCCTGGTCTTCCAGTGAATGGTTTTGTGTCGCCCGTCAGATCTCAGCTTAAGGAGAACCTTTCTCCGAGAGGCGTTTTTCCTGGCTGAATGAATTTCTTCCTGATAGAATTTTTTGTTTGTTAGAGTCCCCACGCAAATCCGTGTCCACTCAGAGCCTCAGGAATGTGCCCTTCTTTGAAAACAGGGTCTTTGTAGGTGTAATTAGTTAAAATAGCATGGTGCTGGATTAGGATGGGCTCTAACTTTGATGACTAGTGTCCATGTTAAGGATTGAGGGGACACTCAGGAAAGAAGACTGGATGACCAAAGCAGTTGTTTGCAGTGTCACAGCTAAGAGCTGAGGAATACCAAGGCTTCCTTCCTCAGAGTCACCAGAACCTGTGACGGATCAAAGAAGGATATGTCCCCAAAAGCCTTCAGAGGTGCCATGGCCCTCCTGAAACCTTGAGTTCAGAATCCTAGCTTCCAGAAATGTGAGAGAATAAATTTCCGTTGTTTCAAGGCACTATGTTAGTCTAGATGGACTAGAGAAGCAAATTAATAGATGCTCATATATGTCTAAGAAAGAGATTTATATAAAAGAGCAACTGAATATTGAGAAAACATTCTAGCCCAATCCAGATCAAGTCCATACATCCAATATTAACCCATATGTCTGATACCAATCCATAAATTTCTCTTCAGACTCACACAACACATGCAATGATGCTGAATGCAGGAAGATCACAGTCCAGTGGGTGGGAAGTCTTGTGGATCCAGTGGCAGTAGAAGCATCTCAGAGCTGGCAGGGGTTTCCACATGGCTCCTTCAGCTCAGGGCACTAGTGTAACTCCATGTGTCTTGTCAGCTGCAATGTCTCCCAGGGAGTGAGCCCTGTCAGTAGAGTCTCCAAGGGAGTGAGCGTATGTCCTGCCTCCAGCGAGCTATTTATCTCCTTAGAGCCTCCAAATGAGGTCATCAAGCTGCGACCTGATTAACAAACTGAACTTCACCCCTTCACTCATAAGTCTCAAATTGACAACAGATTATGTAACAACCACAGGCACCAAGGTTTTTAAAATTATTATTTAAGTTATTATAGCAGCTCTTATACATTTCACTATACCATGTTTATTAGTCTTAGAATATTATTCCTTGTATTCTTTTGCTTTTCTAAACCAATTTTTCTGGAAAATATAAGTTAAGCTTATTTCATTTTACTATTCAATTAGTCAACACTTAATTGGACATCACCCCACAGAAAGGTTACAAGGAAGGGATGATTTAACCAGGGTGCAGTAGCACCAGTGAAACACATTATTCCTCTAGTTCTTGAATGCTTCCTTACCCCCATTACTATGATCCAGTTCTACCTTACAAATCCGGCTAGACCTGAGTATATACATTGGTACAGATATGAGCTTCTGACACATGGAATTCAGGACAGATAAAACCCTCAGGCACAGCAGTGGGAGCAGTGTTATTTATGAGGGTAGGAGGATGGTGGAGGTGGGTGTGGGGGGGAGGGGGAGAAAGGGGAACCCATCACAAGTTTGGATATATAACTCACCCCCACCCCCAGGGCACAAATAACAGAAAGGTGGGTGAAGGGAGACAACGGACAATGTAAGACACTAAATAACAATAGTAATATATAATTGATCAAGGATTCATGAGGGTGGAGGAGGGAGGGGGGAATAAAGAGGAGCTGATACCAAGGGCTTAAGTTGAAAGAAAATGTTTTGGAAATGTTGATGGCAACATATGTACAAGTGTGCTTAATACAATTGAATGATGGATTATTATAAGATTTGTAAGAGGCCCCCAATAAAATAATTAAAAAACAATTAGTCAATACTCAGCAGGGTACCATGTCCAAAACTTTTCTGCTCCACTTGATTTGTTTATTTCTCTAATAACAAGTACTTCCCAAAAATTCTCTGGGAAGTTAGATGATTTCTTTTTGCCTGTCTTCTTTCTAGGTATGCTGCTACAATGTCTCGGCTTATAAGAGAAAATAAAAGCTCAATCACAAGAATGACCAACCATCCAACTCCAGGTAACTAGAGTTCAGTCTGCCAGCTTTGTTTAATTTGTAGATCTAAAATATAGGCCCATAATAAAAATTTAGACGTTTATTTTTTTAAGTTCAAATATGTGAAGGTTCTTATGCCTACTGTAAGGTTGCTCAACTATGTGGCTAACGAAATTGATTTAGGAACTTACATACATAAGAACTGAAGCTTTGAAAATGTTTAATAATTACTTATACGTATACTCAAGTGTATTACAATTTAATAGCTTAATATACAATTTGAAAATTTGAAGTTTCAAGATATATAAAAGTACTGCCCACGCCCCAAACAAAATAAATACTAATCAACTATCCTAAAATTCATTGTCCACCACTTACTTGTCTGTCAGTTTGTCATATTGGGATGACTTGGGTATTACTGTGATGCAGGAAGTTATGGCACCAGTATTTCAAATACCAGCAGGGTCACTCCAGGTGAGCAGATTTCAGCATAAGACTAAGAAGAGACTGTGAAGAAGCAAGACTGTCCACTTCTGAGAGAGTAGACTATTGCAGACATAGTTCCAGAAGGTGAGCCCCTCAGCTTGGAAGGTACTCAAAATATGACTGAGAAAGAGCTGCCTCCTCAAAGTAAAGTTGGCCTTAATGGGATGGATGGAGGAAAGCTTTTGGAGCCTCCATTTACTGATGGACCGTGACTCAAAATGAGAAGAAATAGCTGTGAGCATCCATTCATAACAGATGTGGGGAATGTATGGAACATGAATCTAGGAAATTTGGAAATCATCAAAAATGGGATGGAATGCATACAGGCTGATAGTCCAGGCATTAGAGAGCTTGAATGGAAGAGCACTATCCACTTTGACAATCAATTACATGGTTTGCTGTGCTGGGATTGACATACTCAAGAGGAATGGCATCTCATTTATCTTCAAAAAGAATATTCTAATACCAAATAAGTAAATAAGAAAAAAAATTTTTAATGAAAGGAACATTCCAATATGTATCGTGAAGTACAATACTGTCTGTGATTGGATAGCTATGTGCTGATAAGGATTTCCCATTAACACACTCTTATTCAAATTTATACACCAACCACTAAAGCTAATGATGAAGAAATTAAAGAATTCTACCAACGTCTTCAACCTGAATTCATCATGCATTGATAATTATTAGTTATTATATTGCAAAATTTAGAAACAAAAAGAAGGGACTGTAGTTTGGAAATTAGGGTTTTAGTGATAAAATTGAAGCTGGAAATCACATGATAGAATTTGTAAGACCGACAACTTCGTCAATGCAAATACCTTTTTCCACAACACAAATCGTGACTTAATGTGTTAGTCTGGGTATTTTAGAGAAACAAATCCACAGAAACAAATATGTATAAGAGTTTTATATAAAGGGTAAATACATATCAAGAAAACATCCCAACCCAGTGCTGTCCAAGCCCACTAGTCCAACATTAGCCCATATGTCTGACACCAATCCACTAAATCCTCCTCCATCTCACAAAACACACACAGTGATGCCAACTGCAGGAGGACAGCTGAGTCAGTGAATATGTAAGCATCCAGCACTGGCCGGGGTCTCCACACGGTGCTCCAGCACCCAGGGCTGCATTGGGGTAGGTCTATGCGGCTTCTCCTTGGGGATGTTTTGTGGGAAGTGAGCCTTGCAAGCTGAAGCAGGGAACTGCTAAGGCAGCTGCACCCTGGTCTGACCATCACAAAGCAAAAAACCTGAGAACTCGAAAGGAGAGGCTCCCTGAGTCATTTATCTCTCTGCCCTTCAATTAACCCCACATGTGTTTATCAGCCAGGTTGGCACAATAAACTTTAACTATCTCACCTAACAGCAGCAGCAAAACTAATTGTAGATTCAGACATGGTTAGGGGGGAAAAGGAATAAAGTTATTGTTTGTGTGTGCTCTTTTAGAATTGTGTTTTTTCAAAGAAGCAGAGTGGTTGTTGCTAGGTTCTGTCAAGTCGATTCTGACCCATAGCAGCCCTCTGAACAGCAGAGTGAAATGATCCCTGGTTCCGTTCTCCACCACCCTCACCATCGTCACTCTGATGGTGGCTCCTGTCCCACACACTGTCAACACCTCTCATTGAGGGGCTTTCTCTTTTTACTAGACCAAGTAAAGTGGCTTTCTTTAGGGACTGGTCTCTTCTGATAATGTGTCCAAAGTACATGAGATGAAATCTCACCATCCTCACTTCCAAGGTACACTCTTAGCATTCTTCTGATAAGACGTGTATGTTTTGTTTTTCCGGACAGTCCACAGTAGTTTCAGTATTCGTTGCCAACAGCATAATTAAAATACATCCATTCTTCTGTCTTCCTTATTCATTGTCCACCTCTCACATGCATATGAGGTGATTGAAAAATGGCTTGGGTCAGGGGACATTAGTCATCAGCATGATATCCTTGCTCTTCAACACTTTAACAAGATCTTGTGCACAGATTTACCAAATGTAGCATATTGTTTAATTTCTTGACTGCTGCTCCCATAAGAACTAGTTGTGGATCCAAGGAAGATGAAACCATTGGCTACTTCAATCTTTTTTGTTTAGCATGGTGTTCCCTATTGGTCCACCTGTGAGGATTTTGGTTTTCTTTACATTAAATTACAATCCATTCTGAAGGCCGCAGTCCTTGGTCTTCATCAGCAAGTGCTTCAAATCCTCCTTGCTTTCAGCAAGCCAAGCTGTAGCATCTGCATACCACAGGTTTCTAGCAAGCCTTCTGTCTTCCTGACATCACATCCTCCTCCAGGTAGTCCACCTTCTTGCATTCCCTGGTCAGCAAACCGATTGAATAAGGGTGATGAAAAAGTACAGCCCTGACAACACACCTTTCCTGATGTTAAACCATTCATCATCCCCTTGTTCTTGTTCCCTCTCGATGTACAGGTTCCACTTGAGGATGATAAAGCGTTCTGGGATTTCCATGTTTCTCAATGTTGCCCATAGTTTCTTATGATCCACACAATGGAATGCCTTTGTATAGTCAGTAAAACAAAAAGGCAAGCATGTTTCTGGACTGCCAGAAGAACAAACAAACCTGTCTTGGAAAAATGGCAGCCAGAATGCTTCCTCAGAAATGTGCCTGGTGAAACTTCATCCCACGTACTTTGGACGTGTTGTCAGAAAAGACTTCCCTGGAAGTTGGTCATGCTTGATGAAACAGAAGGAATTAAAAAATGGGGATTACCCTTAATGAGAAGAATTGACAATGGCTGCAACAATGGACTCACATATAACAGTGGTTGTGAGGATGGCCCAGCACGGGGCGGTCTCTTGCTCTGCTGTACATGGGGTTGCTGATGTGGAAGCACCTGTACAGCACCTAACGAGAACAACAAGCATCCTTCTGGTATGCTTTGCTTCCAGCCATGGTCCATCTGATATCAGCAGTGACATCCCTGGAGTCATGTCCTCTTTGGACCCCAGCTTGAATTCTTGGCAGCACCCTGCTGCAACTATTGTTGAATTATTTCAGCAAACATTTACTTGCATGAGATATTGATGATATTGTCCAACAATGCCCACCCTCTGTTGGTCACTTTTCTTTGGAAGAGTCACATACATGGATTTCTTCCCGTTGGTTGTTGACGTAGCTGTCTTTCAAATTTTTTGGCATATGTGAGTACTTCTAGTGCTTCGTTGGTTTGTTGAAACATTTCACGTGGTATTGCATCAGTTGCTGGAGCGAACCTTGTTTTATGCTAATGCTTTCAGCACAGCTTGAATTTCTTCATTCAGTACCATTAGTTCTTGATCATATGCTCCCTCCTAATGTGGTTGAATGTTGATCAGTTTTTATTGACACAGTGACTCTGTGTATTCCTTCCATCTTGGATGCTTTCTGCATTGTTCAATACTTTTCTCATATAACACCAGTATTTCATCTCAAGGCTTGAATTTTTCTTCAGTTCTTTCAGTTTGGAGTATACTGAACATATTCTTCCTTTCTGGCTTTGTAATTCCCAGTCTTTGCTCATTTCGCTACAATACTTTGTCTTCTTAGGCTGTCCTTTTAAAATTTCCTGTTTAGGTCTTTTACTAATTTCATTAGTTTGCTTTACCTACTTTACCTACATTCCTCTGCCAGTCCATGGTACTTTCATGAATCTTCAGCATCACTATAATTCAAATAACTACATCTGTATTCTGCAGTCTTCCTTCTTTACTGTCCAACTTTTCCATGCATAGGAGGTGACTGGAAATGCCATGGCTTAAGTCAGGTCTACTTTCACCCTCAAGGTGAGCAATCCCTATTCTTCAAATACTTTACCGAGGTGCTGCAATGCATCACATGATTGCTTGACTGCTGCTTCTGTGAGCATTGATTGAGGATCCAAGCAGAAGGAAATCCTTGACAACTCTAATCTTTGCTCCATTTATCATGATGTCTCGTGGTCTCTTTGTGGGGATTTTTTGTTTTCTTTACATTGAATTGCAACCCATACTGAAAGGTGTTGTGCTTCAAGTCCTCCTTGCTTTCAACAGGAAAGGTTATGCATGCTATCTGCGTATTGTGAGTTCTGAATAACTCTTCCTCCAATGCTAATTGGTAGAGTGTAGTGCCCTCGTATGGCAGTAGCCCCGTTCACCAAATGCCCCAGACCTCACTGCCTGAGCATCCAAGAACCTGGCAAGGTGGGCTTGTGTGTAAATCACCATCTCAAAGACTTACCCAATTGAACCAGCAAGTATTTACTCTTGTCTTATTTCCTTCTATAAGTTTATAAAAGGTTAAATGAATATAGAAGCATTTATCTGGGGAGGGGGAAGAAGCAGAAATATGAGTGCTAAAAATGGTAGAATTGGCAGACCCTCATATTCCCCTGAAGAAACTCATAGGACACAGTAAAGGTTTAGAAAACCATGATTTTAGAATAAAAAAGAAGCCATTTGTGACCTTGGCTGAAAGCAGAGGATACCAGAAAGATATTTGTTTACTTGCGTTTCATTAACTATACAGACAAAATAGGTGCCATCATGATAAACAAAAAA